CACACACACACACACACACACACACACACACACACACACACACACACACACACTTCTTGGAAGAGAGCATGACAAACCTAGACAAAATATTAAAGTGTAGCTACTCTGTAGAAAATGGAAGCTGAACTTGTCCATAGAGGCATTATGAATAACTCATATAATGTCATATACAATTTATTTCAAACTTTGAAAAATGTACATAAATATAAACATACTAGCTTTGATCTTAGGCTTTGATCCTATTAGGAAAACGGTATGACACAAAGTTTGTCTTGCCATACTCCGGTTGGCTTGAGTGCAATTCAGAAGAACTTTTTAGACTTCTTGCAGCTAGGAGCCTGCATCTTTTTGGAGGAAAAATAGATGAAACTTTAATTTCACTTCCCTCGCTCAGTGTAGTCATAGTATTCTGGAAGAAGAAAATTGTGCAGATTATCTTGACAGAATTTCTAGCAAAGGAAAGATGCTTACACATTGGTCTCACACTTCTCTTTGCTTTCCTCCTATTCCCCATCTCCTTTTCCTAGCAAGAAAATAGTTCTTTCATATCTATAAAAATATCTTTTAAATAAATTGAAATATTATTTAATCAATGTTGGCAATGCAACACCATGGGCATGAGAGAATCTACAACAGTCCTAGATGCAACTCTGATCTCCCCCAATAAAACATGATAATAAAAACGTTGTTGAATTATAAATGGGTTAAATCGTTTAAGATTGCTAAATGTCATAAACTCTCTGTGTTTTCATTGGAAATCTTGCAAGATCTCATAGGAAATGTATGAAATCTGGTAAAATTGGGCCCCTTTAAATTGCTAATACTTTTAAAAATGATAGTTAAAAAATAGTTACAGCCTTGGGACTGTAAAGTTGTATACTGCCTAAAATGGCCACTGATTTGTGATACAAACTGAGCAGTAGTACAGTTTCCTCTGATTAGGGTTGATTTGACTTTTCTAGTTTACATTCATCTAGATCAGTGTAGCTACATCTTAAAGCTGCCAAGTTGAGACTTTGTAGTAAATGGCTGAACTGATATAAACCCAGTGCTGAAAGTAACAGGGGGGAAAATAACTCCACCAGCATCAGAAAGTTATGATGGGAATAGTGAAATGTATCTGTGGTCCATCTACTGGTCCATCCTTACCTGAAGCTGGTAGGACATCGGCTGTGACTGTTCCAGTGGCACTTGGTGGTGGGGGTGGGGGTACCACTTGACTAAATAGATATAAATTAAAATGGAGTATTAATATTACAAAGTGGTGAGAAATATCTCTGGGTAACTCTCAATACCCATGGGAATTATCTTACACTGATAGTTCTGCTTATTTTAGAAGACACTAGTTTCAAGGTCCTCCCCCTGTTTTATTTCAAGCAAGCATCTTCCCTTTTATTAAATTAGCAGAAATTTCATCTGACATTTTCTTTGAAACACCTAATAAAATACTAGGAGCCAACTGAAGCTTCTAGTATTGCTGGATTTTTAGTTCTCTATAAAAACCATTGTTTTTCAGGATTTGAAGTAATTGAATAAATTCTACAAGAATAAGCAATGGTAAATATCTGGGATATTTATACACCTAGGAAAAAATTATATGAAGAATATGGGAATATAAACAATAAAGAATTGCAGTAGTGCTACAGATAGGATATTATGTAGTGGTAGTGACTAAACAATGCAAGTATGTTTCACTTGGCTTACCATAATGTAGAGAAGTTCCTGACTCCAGGTGCATCTTACTTGGCACTTTTTGTGATGAATATTACTATTGTACCACTTGTCTTAGCCTTACATGTTTTATATGAAACATTTGGATGAATTATGGCAATGCACAGTGGAATACTGAAATGAAACACTTCATTTGATTGTTTATATTCCTTTCCCCATCTGCACAGTTTTGCTCACCCATCATCTTGTCTCCCCCTTGAGTGAAGATCTGGGCCCACATGACGAATGATGGGCTGCTGCGGTGTCAAACCTGAAGGCTGAGATGGAGGCCTCCATGTTCTGAATGGAAGGATGCGTGGATAGGGGGGATAATAGTGGTGGAATACCATGTCAATCTCATCTTCATCCTCTGTCTGCCAGGGGATGGGGGGTATCTGCTAGAAAGAAAGATTAGGATACTTAAGGCAGTGGTCCTTATCTCAAGGATCATAAGCCCAAAATGGTTTTACCCGTGGCTGCATTGACATAGTCCTGTTAATAAATTGGTATTTCCTGTTGCAACAGCATGAGGTGAGCAATAAATTGAAGTGAGATGACTCTCACTAAGTCTACCTTTAAGGAATAGTAAAGACCTACTGTACTTTTATCTTGATAGGCTAGCAATCTACTACTTCTGAGAGTCTTTCTCTGGCCATCTTCTTCAGCCTCTTCCAATTCTCAGTACTGTTCCTCTCTCCTTTCTACAACTCACAGTGGCCTTGACTTAGAAATCTGTTTGTACTCAAGTCTATTAATATTGCTATTGTGACTGTTTTAGGCAGAGCATCTGGCTGCTGTATGTAAAAGAGATGTTGAAAAGGTGAGTAGTGAAAATAATAATTTATTATACATAATAATCTTAATTATGGGTCATAGTTTTCCCGAGCTATATTCTGGATCCTGATCAGAACAAGTCAACAACCTCTGAGGACTTACGGTGCATCACATTCCTTTATTTTTCCTGTGTGGCTGTCAAGTCAGGACTTTGAAGCTATCAGCTCTTGAAGTCATTGAGTACTAAAATCACTTTTATTATGTTATAGTAACAGAATATTGCAATCTAAACGTGCTTTTCTTCTCTCTGCCTTTATCCTAAGTTATGGATGGTGAAATGCTTTTTAAATTCTATTTCTGCATTGGACTCGGGTTTGTCTTGTCTGACTGTTTCCTTGGCTGCAACTCTTGCTCTTGCTGTCCCTCAAGATTATTCTCACATCCAATTACACATGCAGAGTCATTCAGTATTTTATGGACTTCAAATATATTTCAGATGATGTGTCATTGCTTCATACATATATGTCCCTACCTGTATTCATTAGTAACTACATTTCACATGCTAGGTAGCCAATTAGTTTCAGAACAGCAAAATCATTATGCATCAGAGATATCTCTTTGTAACAGAAGTAGGCACATTCATTCTCAAATTTAGATTTAAGAATGGAACTTATAAAGTTCTCATTGAAAAATGGCAATCTATTCCCTGGTGGCTTCTGGTATGTATAATTTGACATCAAGACACATGTTTTTCTGCTCTCCTGCCCATTAGTTGAGGCCAGTAGAAGGCAAGATAGTTGGCACAGAAATGCCTTTCCCCCCTTTTTTTCCTCCGTCAACTCCTCTGTTAAATCCACCCTAGATCAACAATCTACCTACCTGGTTTGGGTTGGATTCAAAGCATGCTGCTGCTGACATAGCCAGGTTGTTCATTATCACTTGGTGCATCTGGGCATTTTGTAGCATCATTAGATCTATTAAATCTTCCAGAAATTAAGAATACAATAAATATGCATTGATTGATTTATACATATATACAAACATCTAACATGAAAGAAGTAATAACAGAATCATTAGAGCAAAGGGGCACAACCTGAACTCCTAGCATCACACACAGTCCCACAAGCTGTCAGTATTTTCGAATTCCAATGTTCGAGAGAGAAAGTAAAACTTTCTAAATACTTGACTGCAAAAAACATATTAACTATATTTAGTTTTAATTAAATACAAGTGAAATGAAATTAAAATTAGTTTTAACGTTGCACTTCCCTATGTTCAAAGGCCAAGTCTGATTTTCAACGTAGGAGAATCTGTGCCCTCTTGCCTAGAGAGCTTAATGTTTAAAAATAGTGGCATTTTAAATCCATTAAATTTAATTTGAATAAATATAATGAAACCACAAAACAAACATGTAGCATAAAAAAGAAAATGGCAAATATAGAATATATTTATTAGCATATAATAGATTATTGCATTTCAGGCAAACTCAGATTAAAATTGAAATATTTTCAAGTCTCAGTCCGTGTTTCCAATCTTTTAAGACATCTTCTCTCAAAGTAGTTACCCATCTAATCCAGACAACTAAGAACAAGAAAAGTGGCTATTACTAGACACATGGCACGAGATTCATAAAGCTGTTTCAAATTATTTTCAGCCACTTATTGTAAGAAATAACAAAATATTTTGCCATTGTACTTTGCATTGTTCCTCCAGATAATCATGTGGCAATTACATGGCTTTATGTATCATTGGAATAAGTTTTGAGAGAGTGCCTGTTGCCTACTGACCAATATCGGTAGTATCACTAGTGAAGATGAGCATTTCAAATGTGGTAGGGCTGTATGTCTGATAGAATTACATACCTCACATACATTTTGTTGCAATTTCTCATCTTTCTTTCTCTTTCTGTTTGTAATAACTGATATTGACAATTGTCTATTTTATAATTTAAAAAAATATCATCATTATAATAGAGTGGTAGAACTGGAAAAGTATTGCTACAAGATTATCTTGCAAAATTCAAGGCACCTTTGTAAATTCCTACATTAGTTTAAGATTAGAGAAATTAGCATCATTTCATAGGCTAAGAAAAATATTTAGATCATGGTTGGAGCTAAAAGCAATTTGTATCAGAAATATAAAAAGCTACATGTTTGCATTATAAATGACTATCAGTTTTTTTTAAAAAAAACTATTAATAGAATATATTATCTATTGATATAATAGATTAAAAGAGATTCAAAACTAATTTAAGCTTTAAAATATTCTGAATTTATTCATGTTTAGATAGTAGTATGGGTTGGGGTGTAATTTTTTTCAAACTAGTAACACGTAGATAATCAGCTGTTTCTCCTCCTTCCACCAATTTCAGTTCTCTAGCAAATTGGTAGACCTGATTTCTTACTTTCTTTGATGTGACTTGTGCAGCTAGACTGAGGAAGTGTCCGTGGCATCTGCTGGAGAATGGTCACTTCTGGCTCTTGTGTAATCTGAGAAATAGTGGAAGGAAATTCAGAGAAGACCAGGCTGTCTTGCCATTTTTTCCTGGATAAGGTTCTGTCATTATTGTTTTATACAGAAGTTATATATCTGATTGCGCTAGATTAAAGCTTAAACTAAATGCACAGCTCGGCATCTCCTGGCTTCTTTACTCCCAGTGGTATAATTTGGAATGGATGGGATCCAAGTTCTTCTGAATGATTAAACAATTGCAAACAGAAATGTTGGCTTGTATTCTGTGGATCTCTCAGGAATCTTTTGGTAGATCAGAGAGGTCCTTTGCCCTCTCTTACACCAGGATGACTTTTCAGGATCATTCTCTGCAATGATGCTGACACACTTTTCGCCATCTCCTTAAAGTGAAGCTTTATTCAGATATCTGATCATGGGCAAAACTAAACTGGGGGATTTAAGGATTCCATAGAGGCTATAAACCTCTAAGACAGGGGTCCCCAAACTTGACAACTTTAAGACTTTTGGACTTCAACTCCCAGAATTCTCCAGCCTGGAGATTCTGGGAGTTGAAGTCCACAAGTCTTAAAGTTGCCAAGTGTGAAGACCTCTGCTCTAAGACTAGATTTTCTCCAAGATTCCCAGAATAATCTGCTGTAATGCCTACTGATGCCATTCCTTGCTGCCCCTGTCTTTCAAGCCAACATATGGGACAAATTCACAACAATCAGAACAACAATTTAAGTTACCGTAAATACTGTTTTAAAGAACATCTGAACAATATACTGCATAAGCAGATTGCCTAATTAAATTAATTAGTTAGGATAATAATGAGTAAAATTAACATTTAAGACGTTTAGTACAAATTAAAACTGAGACTACAAACGGGTAAATAATGTTTGTATTTCCAAATCCCCCCTCTGAACTGACCCCTTTAGCTAGTCCTGCTTTCTCTGATTTTCAGTCATTCAGTTGGTTCCTTCTGCTCAAGATATCTTCTTGAATTTGAGCCACAGACTCCAGATTTTTGTTCTTATTTCTAAGCTGAATTACAGAATTCCTGCTGCATTGCAGGAACCTCCTAGGTTGGACAATTTAGCAGAAGTCTCCTCCTACTGCACCACATAACTTCTCTCTGCGGTGTATAGCATTCAGGATGAAATTGCACACTTTAGCACAAGGGAGGATCCTGCTGCATCAGACAATCCACAGGATGCCTGTCAAGCTATCTTTAAACATGATTTAGTGCTCTTTCACTTTACCTAGAAGCTGATGAAAGATGGTGTTGCACTATAAAGCATGATTCCCTCTCCTGTGGCATTGCACAACCCATTTCTGTGTTTTTCAGCAGTTGGATTAGTTATTTTTAAACACAATGTTGGTGATTTAGAGAAAGAACATTTAGCCCATATTTAAAAATAGCCCACTTAACAGCTGACAGGGTGGTAGAAGTGCTCCTCCAGTTGCACTATAGAGCCCTTCCCTTCATCCTCATCATTTATTCATTATGTTAATTCCTTTTTCCAAGACTGGAAGAACTAATGAGTTCAATCGAGGAATATCATTTGGAATTACAGATTCCCCTATAGCTCACGCAGAAGGGCTCTGGAGAATGTGGAAGTGCCCAAGGAAAAGAAAGAATGAGGCAGGCCTGAACCATCCCAAAGTAGCCAGTGGCTGCTGATCCAGTCCCAGGCCTAGGAGATACTAATGTGATGATTGAGATGTCCACATATATTTACAATTAGAGAAATGTATTAGGAATTTACCTCAACATTAATGCAGCTAAGGATAACTTGATGGCCTCTCAGATAGGGGCTACAGATGAAGCCAACGTCATCATGATATGGCAGAAAAAAGAAGTCACATTTCTTCACGGAAAAATGATGGTGGGGCTGTGTGTTTCAGTTGCCTCTCAGGGTTGCTGCCCAGGTGAAGACGTTAAACAAAGCTACTTGTCAGACCAAAATCTCTGGGGCATGGCACAACTATTTTGCCATCTACTGGTATGTTCTGTGAACATAGGTCTACACAGGGTTTTTCTATCCTCATTTTTGTTGAATATGTTTGAGGGAAAAGACGCAGGAGCCATGGAATCAGAGAGTAAGATGTTTATTGCGAGATGACAAGCGATTCAAAACGTCCCTGCAACTGTCAGGGTATTTATACTCGAGCCCAAAGCAACTGTCAAATAACCAGCCAATCAGAGAGCTGGTAACAGGGAACATTTGCATATATAACAATTTTCAGTTGGCAGAAAGGTGGCCAGGTTGGTTTTTCACTGCAAGTGCAAAGAGGTCTGTGTGATTTATGTGGTTTATTACCACATAAACTTTAGTATATCTCTAACTACTTCATCAGCTTAATTAAGGCAGGGATATTATACCTAACTCCTCCTGCATCGGCAGCTGCATTATATAACACAGATCTGTCTGACTATTCGCTGCCTCTGAGAAAGTAGACCGAGATACATTAAATATTATGCAGTCATAAATATGCTAGATGACACAATAATTCTTGTTATATTTTAATTTTCTGTTCTCCATTTGGGACTCAGGAGGGGTGTTACAATTAGTTATAGCATATAAAATATATTGCCTCTTCTATTACAGTCTAGTCTCTCCCACAGACCACACAGAATTTGGTAACCACCCAGAACTTTTCTTGGTTGGAACTGAATTAAGAAGACATGCAGGATTACAAAACATTCTTCTTTTGCTGCTCAGAGTGATATACCTTTCAATATTCCAACCCACCGCAGTGACTTACTGGTTGCTGAATGAGGTAGACTGGTGAGGAGATAGCACTGTTGCCCACTGGATCCATAGCAAGGCCTCACTGGTCAGCAAAAAATATCAGCAGGAAGAAAGTCATCAGACTGGTTGCTAAGGGAGTTGTGTTTAAACATACCTAGCCTTCCCTTCCTGCAGGTGTTGTTCCTCCTTCAGTTTATACGCAATTAGCTTATCACAAGCATTGAGTTTACTTGGCAAATAATTGCAATACTTTCCCAACAGTTAACTCTAAGTATCAGTAATAATTCTAAAATGATTGATTTTATTTTTAGGTTTTTGCCATATCAGTATGTCTGTCAAATACAAATGGATTGGGAGGGTATGTTTTCCAGATAGACATTGACTTGTTCACCATGTGAAGATAAAGTTGTTTCCTGAGAAATAATATTTGTTAAAGAAAGGGGCTATCAGAAAAAAAATAAAAGAAGGTACCTACCAATTGTCTGAGTGCTGCACCTTTTGATTTGATCATCCTCAGCTAGATTTTGGCTGGTCACAATTGGGGTCCCTGTTGGAAACGTCTGGGTATACCACCCAAACATCTAAGCTCCCTTCCTTTATGAAACTGCTTGTCCACTCAAAAGTTCTGGCTAAGTTTATAAAACATGCTCAAAGCAATTACTGAACTGATCCATCATTGTCTAGGTTTACACAATGCATTAAATCACAGACTGGATTAACTGGTTGGGTTGATGCAACACAGAAAGGAGGGAGGAGGGGAGAAAGGAGGAGGAGGAGGAGAGGGAGAGCTGCTACTAACCAAGAAAAATATGTCCTGGGAAGGACCCCAAGATGCAGTTGGGAGAACACACCCCTTGTGTGCTATTTGCAGCCCCAGCAGCTGCTTCTCATCCTGAGAATGGGTAAACAAATGGCATGAAGTAAAGTGGTGCTATTGATCTGGATTTTAATCTACCAACGTTGTATTAACTTGTGTGAAGAAAGGCCCATAAAGTAGAAAAACTCCTGCTTCACTACAAACCTATTGAGCACCCCATCCCAATGTGGAATTGTTTAATGCGGTCTGATGCCTCTTCTGTTGAGACTCTGTTCTAGAAAGATTAAATGCAAACTTTTCCAATCAAATAAGGTGAGGCAGTGTGATTTTTAGAAAAATGAAAATCAGATCAAAAATGACCTATCCTTTTATCATCGTATAATGTTTCCTCTAATTAAGCAGAGTTTTTCTAGGAACTGAAAATATTCTGTAGTGTCATACAGTAGTTACTACATTGGTACAAGTTAGGGAAGTATTGCTAATCATCTGGAAAAAAATAAGCTTAGACAGAGCGAGGAGGTAAGTGAATAGACTATAACCAGGAGTGATAATGTACATGCCTTGAGGGCTTCTTGCACAAGAGTTATAGAACTGGGAGGTTACATAATGTTATGGCACAAATTCAATTAAATCACGATTTCTTCTTTTATAACCTGTTCATTGGGAGATTTTTGTCCCTTCCACATGCACCAATCTGTGAATCTAGTCTTTGCCTCAAAAAGACCATATTTCTCCCATCTCACTTTACAGAAGCGTAGCTGAGGAAGATTTTCTGAGTTTTACTTTGTTTCTTCTGTTCTAAATTAATCTGTCTCCTAATAAGGTTATTCTTCTCACTAAGGAAAAGATGGCTGTCTGATTAAGTGGACTGATCGATAAGCAGACACATGGATAGACCTAAAGTCTGATACTCCGTGGGGGGAAAAAAATCTCAGTTCAGAAGAATGGAAAGATTTACAGCAAAATAAATTACCACAGAATCAAAATCTGCAATTTGTTCTCTTATTCAAAAGAGACAGAATTAAAGTTATATAGGATAATTTTATTCTCAATTTGGGGAAGCCCATAGGAGAATGGCTAAGGCATGTACATCCTTTCCCAACAAGCCTGCTGGTCATGGGTAAGAATCTATGAAACATGGACATATATAGAACCTTTAAGATAATGAACAAAGTGAGATGTTTACCGCCTGTTGCTTTATATAATATATTAAGGGAAGTGTAATGAACACTGAACAGCAAAGACTGTCATCTAGAGGTAATTAAGGGTAATCTAATCCAAGGTATAGAAAAATGGAGAGGGAACATGAAATATACCTACAATGGGAAACTATTGTGATTAAAAAAACAGAATCACAAATTGGGGGCATGTAAGGATGTACAACTATATAAAGATAATGATGAGAATAGCTGGGAATTGTAACCAGGTCTACAGCTCGACCAAAATTAGGTTGGTTAAAGCATAATGACTATATATGTGTACTTTTCTGTTATACCACTTTTTTTCTACTAAAAAGGAGAAAAAATAAATATGTATATTGAAAAAGAATTATAAATACCATCAACATAAAAGGGAGCTTGCTCAGAAGCTGAAATACACCAAGTTAATGAGATGAAGAGTGGGAAGTAGAGGAGAAAGGGAAGAAGAGAGGGATAGGAGAAAAGGCAAGGGGGGAGCGGAAGAGGAGGAAAGAAAGGAGGAGTGGAAAGGGGAGGGAGGGAAAGTTGAGAAGAGAAGGATGACAGATGGAAGAATGGAGATAGGGAGAGGGAAGAGAGAGATAGAGAGAGAAGAAAGTGATGGACAAAGTACAAATATGGTTTATGGAGAGCAGAAGAGCCAGTAATTGGTTTTTGGGAGTTGTTAGTAAGATGAATTGATGTAAACATTTAATAATACAATATGATGTTGGTTATGTAATAGTATGCAAATGATTATATGTTATGAAAATGGAAAAATAAAAAACTTTAATCAGAAAAAAAAGTCTGCTGGTCATGGGATGATCTATGTTGAAAATATGAGGGATATGGGTCACAGTCATATCAAATGTATTAGCTGATGGTGGCAAAAGTTTGTGGGTTTCTAAGGAGTTTCTAGATTAGAGATCTTAATTTATATGTAGAAGAGCAGGAATATTCTTGGGAATAACTTGTTTGGGGTTGTACCTGGTGCATATTAATAAAATATGTCCCAATTTACTGGCATTATCTTCACTATTATCAGGGAATGCTTCCTGTGTCATGTTTTTAGGCTGTGCCATGACTCAACCTAATATAAAATATGTTACTTGAAAATCATTATATCAAAGTCATGATGAATGGCAAAATCGGTATTTATGCATTTATCTTTTGGCAAAACTGGCATATGGAAGATTGTAATGTGGAATTTAAAAGAAGTAAATGATAAACTGTGTGCAAATGAAATGAACCTATTTTTGTCTGTAAAATAAAAAGAATTGGAAAAGATGCAATTATTTTGAAGAAAGGTGGACTAGAATTGATTAATGCACACAGAGAGGAGATGGTAGAGATTTAATTATAAGTGAAGAGACTGATTCATGTCAGAAAGCATGAACTGATATCTTTTAAATCTTTTATTTCAGAATGAAATAAGAATGCATAAGTTGGTGATAATTTGCATATTGTAGTAGTATTTTCCCATGAGTGGTGCTAATGAAAGAACTAAAGATGAATTTTCAGAAAATGTGTGCAACTTTATAAACAAATGCTATGTAGGGGAGTGATATGAAAGACTGGTGGGACATTTGATGAAGGAAGGCAGAACATATTGTACCTGAAACATATCCTTCTGAAGAGCAGTTGGTGGTTATTGCCCTGTTAATAGTAAAACATTTCCCTGCTGGTTGGGAGAGGAAGTGAAGATGGAAAATCCACTAGCTGCTTCTTGAAACTATTGCACATCACAACTGTATGGGTAGCATTACTCTCTTGGCTACTAAGGGTGTACCCTACTACTCCCTGGCACAATAAAGGTCAATAATGGAGATGGTATAGTTTATGACAATATTTCTGTTCTCGATTGGCCAAGGGACACACATAAAAAAGGCAGAGCTTCCACTGCAATGATCCCAATTCTCTTTTGAGTTTCTTGACCATATTTTATGAACAACTCTGCTCCAATTCAAGAAAAATTAACATAGCCATGAGAAAACATTCCAAGTTATTTTAAAGCTCTTCTCTCAGGTTTCATTAAATGAAATATTTGTAGGGCTTGCAGAACAGGTATATCTCAAAATGCAAGATTTTGCATTAATATCTGATGGGTTAACTTAGCTTTTATTTAAGTATTAGGCTGTGAAGCTTTCTTCTAAAATGGGATTATTGGTTGTGGAACAATCTTGTCATATATTCCACCTGCCACTTGAAAAGACAGCTTGCTGAATCCAATTTTCATTTTTCCAGTTTTGAAGTTGCAGTTTTAACCCCAATGACTCTTAGTCCTACTTTTATAGGGTTTTTTTGTATTTATTTATTTATTAGACTTCTAATATATAAAGCTAGTGAATATCAAACTCATGGCTGTTTGTAATATAAATTAACTCAAATATATTTTTATGAAAGTGAGCCAGCTGGATCAAACATAGATGATCCTAGGATTCTAGAGTTGGGAGACAATCTTGCCATTCAATACAAAGAAGTAATGGGAGAGCAGGAAGATCCACAACAGGCTGGCTGGTAATGATGGACAGTGATCCAAGGTTCAAAAGGGAAACAACAAGGTCTCAAAATCAAGAACTTCAGTCCAGCCCCATACTGTGTGCCTGCTTTTTTAATCTCTCCCAGGGCACCATTTAGTACTTTGTGGGGCTTTTGAACTAATAATTTGTTGGCATATGGTTCCCTATGTAGTTGCTGAGTTTGATCTTTGGCTTCTGACATATTATGCATCAAGGAAGTGGCACTGCCTCTATCAGTGATGTTGAGTAATCCTCCTGCTGCCTACACCAGGGTAGCAGAGAAAGGGTTATTTTAATAAACTGAAGTACAGGCAAGATGCAAATCTATAGTTACAGAGCATTACTGGACCTTGGAATTAGTTTGTCTCTTTTTAAAATGCAATTTTAACACAAATGGCCACCATCAAAATAATGACTGAATGGAGAAATTTAGGTGGAGAATGAAGATTGACTAGAGACATGAATTCAGGTCCATTTTAATTCAAGCGTGACATGTTTTCCATTACATATCACTCGCTACTACCCCACAAGACAGCTTTGTCCACCTAACTATCTTCAGGAGATACAATAGATTGGATCAGAGATGACTGGGT